AATGGCACTTCATATCAAAAAGGTTGCCGACCCCTGCTCTATACTCACCACTTGTTTCCTAAATCAAATCCAGTCATCAAAGTAGGTTTAATCTTTTACCGTGTTTATTCTCTGCTTCTGTTGGTGAACTGGGAACTATCAAAAGGTTCTGGGAGAAGTTGTCTTGGGTGGCGGCAACAAAGTCAACAGAGCTCCTGAGGAAAAAGAGCAGATGATTAGGTCATTCTCTAAGTTGTGCTTGTGTGGATGCTTAATAATATGAGAGCATTTGTGACTTTTGACACTATGAACATGACGTGACTCACTGGGACAGAGTCTCCTGCACCAGTGTTCCCTGTCCGGACAGATGCAGCAGCCGCAGGGTCTGGGCCGGTGTGGCCGTGGGGTGACCCTGCTGCTCCGGCTCAGACACCGTGCTGTCCACTGCACCGCCTGGGAGTCGCAGCAAATAAACAGTGAGACAGAGAAAAAAGACAACAGTCCAACTTTTATCTTGTTCAAGCCATTTCCAACACCACTGTACAATGAAAAACACAAATAACTGAAAACAACATTTTGTTTGGTGCCCCTACATTTTATCACTTGCAAAAAGGGGCAAAAATACTTAATGTATATTTTTCTATGTTGGATGTAGTTAATAACTATATTGAGAGCATATATTAATTGTAACGTCTTTCTTTGAGCTGCCAGCATGGGATCTGCTTTGGCACATTGCATATTTGTGCCTCTACTGTGACATGTTTGCATGCTTTAACGTTCAAAAAGGCCTTTATTTTTCTCATACTGCCTATGCTGCAGCAACTCTTTTCACCCTCTGTCTGTTGTGAGTGGTGGTCCACTTAGAAATGTCTTGCCCTTTAGCCTATCACATTCAACTTGTTGGAGCACTAGCCAAAGAAGAGTGGGAGAGAAACTCCTTTGGGATTGTATGCCTTTGAAGACCATTTCAATGCACAAAAACCTATAATAACAAGGTCAAAGGGAAAACGCATAATAATAATACATTATATTTAAATAGCGCTTTTCTAGAACTCAAAGATGCTTTACAGTATGAGGGAGGGTAGACAAACAAGGACAGGCAAACAAATAAATATAAAAAAATACAGAAAAGGCAGTCAAGAGGAAGTTGATTGAGAGGGGGGGGAGGTATATAAACCTAGAATACTATAAACAAAATACAAGTATGCAAAGTAGTACGAGATAGGTAGGTAGGTAGGTAGATAGATAGATTGAGAGAGAGAGAGAGAGGTAGGCAAGTAGGTATGTAGGTAGGTAGGTGTGTATAATAATAGTAGTTATTTAACAAACAGTAATTATTTTAAAAACATTTATGAAACTGTATAGCCGAAAAATTACCCATATGTAATTTATAAACCATATTGTCCAACTCTACTTGAAATCGCAGCCAGTTTGCTACACATTGCACTGCATGTATGCGTATTTACCCGTCTTTTCAGGGTCGAACATGTCCTCCTGTGAGGACGGGATCTCCTGCTCATCAGACGCCTGCAGGACCTCTGAGTGCAGCAGAGCCTCGATGCCCCGCTGCCTCCCGGACTGACCCGAGGACTCTGACCAGCTGGAGCTCACCTCAGATCTGCAGGCGCACAGAAGAAAGAACCGCAGTGGTCACAACGTTTTTCAGTCGGACGTACTGCAACACATGTACTCGTGTATCCCTTCATTAACACCAACTGTTATGTTCCAAATGGGTTCACCTGAACTGATTTTAATCTGCATATTAATAAACTAACAGTGATATAGAAAGCATATAACAATATGTTTTCACACAATTGAACTGTCAATATTTAAGTCAGTTTGGTTATGTCTTTATTTCCAAGACAATTAGAAGCCACATTTCCCTTTATCCTACTTATAACTATTCCAACAATATAGCTGCTACTTCTATGAATTACAATGAATAGCAGTTTATCACTCACTTAGTTATTTATCCATTACATTTGACGATACAATTATGTTATCCATCAATTACTTTAGGCTTACCTTTATCTTTTAGCAGATTAAACTGCTCTCTTATAACCTATTTGTAAACACTTTGATCAGAACATTGTTTAGGTCTTACAGCTGACTGGATTAAGGATATATATTTATATCAAAACTGTAGAGTTAATCAACATTCTGACAAGAGCCGCAGTACCTCTTTGATACATGTACCGGTTGCTGGGAATCAGTGCTGTAATGAAGGCAAGATTTAAACACCACATTGGGCCATACCTCGCTGCTTTGTTGTCCTGACTCTGTGAAGTCCTGGAGCTGATGCTCTGCTCTGCTGCTGAGGAAAACAAGCGTTAGGTTAGATTGGCTCTTTTCATAGTGTAATGTCAGTAAGAAGGCTCATATCAGGTACTATACTTTCTTTTTGCAACTTGAGCTGATGACATAGTTAAGAGAGATCTAACATAAAAGTTGAAAATAAACCAAGATGCACTATAGCTGTGTGAAATTAAAGGAAATACCATAATAAACATAAGTGTGAGGTGTTTTTAAACAATTGGCCTCCAGAACACCTTAGTCGTGTTTTTCATAGTTTCTCCAAGTGGGTGGATCAGCATTTTACTAAAATATATTATTTTATTTGGCGTTTTAATGATGGTGGTGTTGGACAGCTCCAAATGTGTTTTCATGTTTTCACTCATTTATTCAAGATGTTTCTTATATTTGCCATACATCAGTAGACTGAGAGTGATTTATTAAATCACCTAATTACCAGGTGCAGCCTTTTCAATATCGAAATAATTTGAGATGTGAAGGTCATGTTGTCTGAATCAATTCAAAGGCTCTAAATAACAATGAAACACAGAAGGAAGAAAAATCTCCCAGCATCTATAAATAAAACTCTTAATACCTGATGTGTTGCGTCTCTCTCTGTCGTCTTCCACCTGACGGTTCACCACTTCACCGCGCAGATCCTGACTCTGAGAAAGCTCCAGAAAACCAAATTGAGAAGCTCCCTCTGAAACGCAAAGATACTGATGTTATTGACACATGCAGTTTAATTATTTACATTAGTATTTAACCTTTATTTAACCAGATAAAAACATTGAGATAAAATCTCATTTACAATGCTGACCTGGCCAAGAAGGCAGCAACGTTACACGTTCTTACACATAACACAGACAGGTAAAATACAGAGAACAAAACTAAGTAAACAAAAGACGAAAAGCAGTCACTACATTGTGCACATTTGGGACAGTAAGAAAGGTCCACTACTTATTACTGCAAGCAGGGGCGTATCCAGGATTTCCTAAATACCGATGTCCAAACATGCTAGGGGGGTTCGGGGGATACCCCCCGAGATTTTTGGGATTTTCATGATCTAGTTAGGTGCTTTTTAAGTCCTGTGGGGGGTCACACATTGGATAATATATTGATTTCAAACCATGTCAGTGGGCTGACAATGTCAGCATCAATTATTTTTGAAAGTGTAATACATGAGAATCAGTTGATTGTTACTATTTATGATCTGGACATGCAGAAGAGGCTAACATGATCAGAAAACATTGTCAACATTCATTTTCCATGTCTCTCTCCTTTCCATAACCTGCACCCTCTCTTCCATCTTCTTCCTGTTCATTACTCTCTCTATCCTCTACTCTTTCTCTTTGTTCAATCTCTCCCTCGTTGTTCACTTTTTGCTCCTCCTCACTTGTCGCTCCTGCCAGTGAATTAAAAGCAATTCAGCTATTTAGTTAATTTCACTTGTTTGTTTGCATTATTTTTTGTATATAAATCTGTTTTGTTTGATTCTCAAAAGAGAACAAAGATATAAGCAAATTGTGTTTTATACAATTGTATGTTATTATGACATAACTGCAATAGATGTATGTTGTTTTACAATTAATGTGTTTATGCCTATTGTAAATGAAGACTATTGTTATAGATATATAGATGGATAGATGGATAGATAGATGGTGTTATTAAGCCTACATTCTTTTGTGTGACTGT